GTTATGGCATAACCAGTCAACTAACTAGGCCTATTTATGCCTTAATCACTACGGACATCATGAAGCATCATCCAAATACCAGTTTCTGCTTGGCCCTAAAGAAACCATCAAATTCCGCAATATCCCAGGGCAGGGAGGGTCAGCAGCACATGGCAAATGCCTGAATAGGAGGAGTGGAACTCTCTTAAGTAGCCCCCCTGCCCAGCACCCGCCTGTTAGATGGAACATCTCCAGCCCTGGAAATCCAGTCCAATGACTCATTTGCATGAAAAGGGGGTAGGACAACTTGATCCATGGCTATTCTGCCATGGATGCCTTTACTCCCTTCATAGTCAGTGATAGGGTTGCCAAGTCCAGTGTCGCGCCGCAGCGGGGGACTCCCGGCTGGCGGCTGGAGCGCTGCACGCACATCACCCGGAAGTGACGTGACGACACCGGGCACTCTGGGGGCAGGGCCACGACCATCTGAGGGAAAACCATAGTGTTTCCCCTGGTGTGTCGGTGCCCCCGCCCCCAGCGTGCCCGGTGTGGTCGCGTCACTTCTGGGTGACGCGCACGTTGGGGTGGGGCTCCCCCCGGGGCCCGATCCGCCGGCGGCGGGGAATGGGCCCGCCCCCCAGGGGACTTGGCAAGTCTAGTCAGGGAAAAAATCAATTTGGTGGGGCCCTGAGAAAGCTATAGATTCAGATTCTCTCTCCTTAGGGATGCTAGCTCTAGGTTGAGAAATACCTGGAAATTATGGGGGTGGAGCTTGGGGAAGGGGGAGTTTGGGAAGGGGAAGGAACTCAGCAGGGTATAGTGCCATACAGTCCACCCTCCAAAGCAGCCATTTCCTCATGGGGAACTGATCTAATTCATCTGGAGATCAATCGGAATAGTGGGAGATCTCCAGGTGCCACCTGGAGGTTGGCAACTCTTTCTCCCTCCCCCACCCCAGTAGCTAACACACAGCCACACACATACCGTAAAGTCCAGCAGAATGCTACTCAGCTGAAACTTTCTATCCAGATCTAGTTGAAGAGAGACAGGATTCACATCTAAGAAATAGAAAAGAACAGTTTTATACGACCAGGTCATGGAGGTTGTAAAACCAAAACCTCTTCTCATCAGTAAGGTCATCCTGTTTCTCTTTGCATTTGATTTACTGAAACTGAAATCCCATTTCCGGATTCCATGTCACCCTGCCCCCTCGGCCCATCATCCAATATCCTGATGCATAGTCAGGTTTGAAAGTCATAAAGCCAATTCACACAATGTGTGCTGGAAGTTCTGTGCTTCCCAAGAGCATGGAGGCCCGATTCTGATTGGGATGGTAGTACACATGGGAAAGAAGCTTCAGCCTCTCCCCACTCCCAATGCCATTTTTCCTGACCTGAAACAGCTCTGGAGCCACTGTTGCTCCATTGGAAAACGTACATGGTAACTTCCCCACAGAGCAAATACAAGCACCTTGGGGTTCTTGTAGGTAGGGTTGCCAGCCTCCAGATGGTGGCTGGAGCTCTCCTACTACTACAACTCATCTCCAGGTGAGAGAAATCAGTTCACCTGGAGAAAACTACTGCTTTGGAAAGTGGGCTCTATATGGCATTATACCTTACTGAGGTCCCTCCCCAAACCCCACCCTCTGCAAGTTTCACCCAACACGGAGCTGGCAACTCTAATTTTAGGTCAGAAAGACTGCAGAGGGGCGTGGTTGGCTGAAGGCCATTCTCCATGCATCCTATGGTCCCATGATAAATGAGGCCCTTGAATGCCCTGGAACCATAGAACTCCCAGCATATGTATAATCCAAATGCCTTGTGGCTGCCATAAGGACTTTGTATTGTGTGAATCAGCCCTTAAACTGATACAGGCTGGTACAGAGCACTGCTAAGAAAGTGTCTGACATGGTGCCTCTTCTCTTCTGCTTCAGTATCTCCCTTCTCACGAGACAGTACCAGTAAGAATTTTTACTTTCACTCCTGTGTGCAGTTTTAGAAGAAGAGAAGAGAAGAAGAGATTGGATTTATACCCCGCCCTTCACTACCCAAAGGTGTCTCAGAGCGGCTTACAATCTCCTTTCCCTTCCCCTCCCCACAACAGACACCCTGTGAGGTAGGTGGGGCTGAAAGAGCTCTGACAGAAACTGCTCTTTTTCAAGGACAGCTATGCCAGAACTATGGCTTGCCCAAGGTCATCCAGCAGGAGCAAGTGGAGGAGTGGGGAATCAAACCCGGTTCTCCCAGATTAGAGTCCGCGCACTTAACAACTACACCAAAACACATTCAAATCAGTTTCTTGAAGGTATGCTGAATAGGAGAAAGGCTTACCATTCTGGGACTGCCACCACCGCATGTGTCCTTTGGAAGAGAGGACATTGTCCACCCTGTGACTGTTAAATGCATGAGGTACTCTGGAATCACATCTGCAACATTTCATTTGCCACTGAAAGACATCAAGAGGCAAATACCAGATTAGATTGCCCAGAAAATGAGAATTCTATCCTTTGGAAAATCATAATTTGTTTTCTGAACGAAGGTTTTGGCTACATAACAAATCCAAGTCATTATTCAAATACAAGTAAATTCAAAGATAGGGACACGATGTATAAAGGTATTACACATTTCAAGAAACACGGAAAGAAAGAAAAATGTTTATTTTGGATTAATGAACCGAGGGATCTGACAGGGAAAAATAATCTGATTGCTGAAGCAGGATATTATATAGGACTTCCTCCTAAACTTGGCCAAAATAATAAACTGCAATTCAGTTCTACTTACTATTATTTATCGCATTATTTTCCTACCTTTCATCAATGGGAGGTCAAAGCAATGTACAACAGGGTTCCCTGGCAGCTTCCTCCCTCACCTTTGTGGCAGAAGAGCTTTTTGGCTTTTTAATTGGTAGTAACTGCATCTTTATAGCATTTATGATGACTACTGATATGGCTACTAATATTTTTAAAAGTCAGAGACAGCTCACTAGTATCATGTTCGAGGAAACTGGATACTGCGGGAAATGTGGGTGAGAAGTTTCAAATGGGGGTTTTCCCTCGGATGGTCGTGGCCCCGCCCCCAGCGTGCCCGGCATCGTCATGTCACTTCTGCGGCACGGGAGTCCCCCAGTAAAGAGAAATTTCGACTTGGCAACCCTATATGGTAGGCAAACCTGCTTTGACTATCATCTTTCTGGAAATAGATCCAGATGGTCAGCTGTGTTGGTCTGAAGCAGCAGATGAAATTTAGAGTCCAGCAAAGGTTTATTCAAGGTATGAATAACATAATCATGTTAATTTGCTGTTAAATCCCTTCTATACGTTTAGAACCTCATCTACCATTCCAATGTATTTGAAAAAGTGTGCCTTGCACATGAAAGCTCATACCTTGAATAAACCTTTGTTGGTCTTAAAGGTGCCACTGGACTCTAAATTTGTTCTATCTTTATGGAAAGAACATGCCAAAACAGGTTGGGAAAGATTACAAAACAATGTCATGTGGATAATATTAAAAAATGCTCCAGTTTGGAGGTAAGGCAGAGCAAATCATCCAAGTGAAAGCAGTCTCTGATCAGACCCAGACCTGCTTAGCTTCAGCAAGATCTTCAGATCACATGCTGGGACCATTATAGTCAACCAGGCTCATCACTCGGTGACATTCCAAGATATTAAGCTGCTTTATACCTGGTCAGACCTCCAGTCCCTCTAGCGCAGTGTTATGTACTATGATTGGCAATCGTTTTCCAGAGACCCTAGCAAGAGTTTTTCCCAGACCTGCTGCCTGAGATCCTTTTTAGGCAAAGATGGTAGGGGTGGGTTGGTGGGTCCTTATGCATGCCTGCAAAGCATAAAAACATAAGAAGACCCTTGGTGGGTCAGACCAGTGGCTCATTTAGTCCAATATCCTGTCTGACACAGTGTCCAACCACTTACTCTGGAGAGCCAAAAACAGGTCATAGATGCAGAAGCCTTCCCCTGCTGTTGCATCCTGGCTTTGGTATTCAGAGGTTTACTATAGCATCTTCTGACAGAGTTGGTCCCTTTCCATGAATCTGTCTAATCTCCTTTTAAAGACATCTATGCCTTTTAAAGACATCCGGCAGAGAATTCCACATTTTAATGGTTCATTGAGTACAGAAATATTTTCTTTTGTCCATTCTGAATCTACTGCCCATCAACATCCCTGGATGACCTTGAGTTATGGCTGTTCTCCAACTCGTGACCATTTGGCAAAAGAAAGGAATCTGCCAGAGTTCTGAAAAAAGATGTTGAAGAGCACACGACCCAAACACAAAACCATAACAGTTTAATCTAGGGTTGCCAGCTCTGGGTTGGGAAATACCTAGAGATTTTGGGGGTGGAGCCTACAGAGGGTTTGGGGAGGGGAGTGGTATAATGCTATAGAACCCACCTTCCAAAGCAGTGATTTTCTCCAGGTGAATTGATCTCTGTCACCTGGAGATCAGTTGTAACAGCAGGAGATCTCCAGCCACTACTTGGAGGTTAGCAACCCTGGTTTAATCCAAGTTATAACCCAGCTGGTAAGCCTGTACTTTTGGTAATGCAAACTGAAGGAAGTTAGAATAGCACTAGCTGTCATATCTTTCTTCTTGGGATGCTTAAATGGGTCCTAATTAGTTAGGCCAGATACAGTGGTATGGCTGAAACCCACGAAAAAGAACTTCCACAATACAGAGAATGTTCTCCAGGGCACTGGTCAAAAGGGCAAAAAGATATGACTTGTACAGCATCACACTCAAACAGGATCAAGTCGTGGCAGATCAAGCCCTCCAGTTCACACACTCCGTACAAATGCACCACAATCTAGAGATAATGCTACAGAATTGGACTATATAATCTCGGGGGGGTGCTTTCTTTAGAGTACACTAAAGATAAGCCAGTTCAGCCCCCTCCAAAGTAAGCATGATGAAACCTAATTTATCCCTGACAGATTTTTTCTGGCCTACTGAACCTCACCATAAAAGACCAAGGGACTAACCAAGAGATTGACCAAAAGAGAGATCTTGGAGTCCTAGTAGATAACTCACTGAAAATGTCAAGACAGTGTGCAACTGCAATTAAAAAAGGCCAACGCTATGCTGGGGGTTATTAGGAAGGGAATTGAAAACAAATCAGTCAGTATCATAATGCTCCTGTATAAATTGATGGTGGGAGGGCTTCTAGTGTCCTGGCCCCACTGGTGGACCTCCTGATGGCACCTGGTATGTTTGGCTACTGTGTGGTAGAGTGTTGGACTGGATGGGCCTTTGGCCTGATCCAACATTGGCTTCTCTTATGTTCTTATATTCTTATGACTAGTTGTGGCATTTCATACTAACATCACCGAACAGTTCTCCCCAAATGCCTAAACCTAACCCAAACAATCCTAACCCTAATAACCCTAACCCTAAATGCCTAAACCTAACCCAAACAATCCTAACCCTAATAACCCTAACCCTAAATGCCTAAACCTAACCCGAAACAATCCTAATGTCTCACTGCGGGCTCCTCTGCGGCCTCCGAGGCAGCAGCTGTGGGACTGGTGCATACCGTCCCGGACCCACAACGTGCCTTGGAGGGCAGAGTGCACCATGGAATGAGTTCCTGGGATGCCAAAGGCCACGACCGCCTCGGTATGAGGGAAGTCCAAGACGGGCGATCGGAACCCCCATGGAGAACACCCCCCTCCCACCAAGAGATGGAACAGTTCTCTACATAGGAGAAACAGGTCAAACCTTACACCAAAGGATAAATAGATACAAATCTGACCTCAAGAGCCACAAAACTGAGAGACCTGTAGGAGAACATGTCAAACTCCCAGGGGACTCAGTGGGGGACGTCAAAGTAGCTGTTTTATTTCCAAGGAATTTCAGAAAGAGACTGGAAAGGGAGATTGCTGAATTGCAAGTTATTGCAACACTCAGGACAATGGAACCCCCAGGGCTTAACAGAGATATTGGCTTCTTATCTCACTACACACGCTAAGTCATTCTGTTCTTACTTATACCTAGAAATTAAACTTTGTGGGTCTTGCAGAGGCCACTGGACTCAAACTTGATTCTCACATCTGTTGCTAACTTCTTTATTATCTGTATGCCAACTGGTGCAAGTGTCCATGGGATGCTTTTGGCGCTGAAACAACATACTTAACATAACCCACATGGGCTGTTTGAGGTAGGATTACTTTTTCGGACCTATTTCAGGAGCATACTGAATGCGCATTTTCATATATATGGGTGGCTCTTTACTGAATTGTGACATCATCGTTGATTTATAGAAATGCTTTCCTTGACCAAGTAGAATTGGTCTCCCAATATCTTTCTTTCTGTAGCAAAGTATAGTGCTGTAAGAATGCATTTATGATGTTGTCCTCAAAGTCAGGACCATTCTTTCTAGCTTTATAAAAGCACCAGTCTCATGTGGCTTAGTCTCCAGTCACTAAGCACCTTTCCACACTAGGACCTTTGAGATCAATTCAGGTGGGTAGCCGTGTTGGTCTGAAGCAGCAGAACAAAGTGAGTCCAGTGGCACCTTTAAGACCAACCAAGTTTTATTCCAAGTACAAGGTTTCATGTGCAAAGAAATTGGAACAAAATCTCAAGGGCTACTTACAGGAAAAAAGTTGGTGGTGACAGCCATCAGGAGGGGCAACTAAGAACCAAACTGTATATGCAGAGCTGAAATTGGACCATTTGGCCAAGAACCAATGGAT